TGCTCAGTTATTCTGTCCCTATGGCTCTGCTTCGTTCCCAGTAAGTATTTGGGCTTCAGCTGCTCCGTTACCCATGTGGCATTTGAAAATGTTTCTTTGCCAAGTACCAGCCAACAGGCAAAGAGTTAATTTGCTCTATTCATGCTTCCTCAAGTGGAAAAGAACATCTGCATCAACATTTCTGCCATTCCCGGTAAAAAATAATAAACTTGTACAGCTGCACCTTGGGATTTGTATGCCCTGTAAAGGAGGCAACGTGTGAACTGTTGATTTTTTTTACCAAGAAAATTTTGAAGCTAGTTAGGCCTTGACCATTGGACAACACTGATGTAAAAGTAAAATCAGCTCTAAGGAAAATCCTTGGCATATTAACATACACAAAGATAGAGATGATAATCCAGAGGTGGTTGTAGTCTAATATTGTTGGCTTTTGGTGATGTCAAAATCTCCTGTTTTAGACTTTTTGAGATGCGAGTCAGTGCTCGGGGGTGGGTTTCTGTGTGTTAGAAAACGCCTGTTTGCTGTCTCTGTGCTTGTGGTATCCCCAGAGCGTGGAAACTTGCAGTGAGGTGTCTGCAAGGACCCCTGGATGTGGGGAGGAATGCCCGGAAATCTGGCTTGCCTGCACTGGCAGCTGTCACCAGGCAGCAAGAGCCTCCGGAGAGCTGAGATTGGCTTTTAATAATGAAACCACGCTGTGAGTCAGTGCTGGTGATGTATCTCAAGGCAGAAAATGCCTTTGAAACCCAGAACTGATAGGCACAGCCTGGGGGGGTCGTCTGGCTTTCCATTTTTTTGGAAGTCGACTGCTTTCGTCTTCTGCATCAGCCTTTCCTTGTAGAGTACTGCACATGCTGCTTCTTTACAGCCCCCTTTAAATTCTCCTAGCTGTCTGCTTGTTTCTGAGGCTGTCTCTTTGTTTTCTGATGTTCCTCCTTTTGCTCTTCAGCTTGCTTTTGTTCCCAGTAAGCCCACGATGTCTGTGGGTCTCCTTCTCTTGCTGGTCTGCCTGGCTCTGTAGCACCGCAGCTTGACTGCCCCACTCAAACCCAGTATGTTAGAAGTGAATTTCTGCCTTGCCCCAGTATAACAAATAATGTTTTGCCTTCAGATAATACATTCCCTCTCTAGAGCCATGGCTGGATATATGCAGGCAGAAGCGTGCAGGTTCTCTGGGCTTGCTGAATATGTGGATGACTTGATTCAGGTATTGTATCTCCATGCTGCTGGTGTCTTCCCTGCTTGGCGCTTCCCTCACAGCAGGGCATTGTCCTACTGCCTCTGTCAAGAGCTATTTTCCCCAGGCAGAAGTGATTCCAGTCCACTCTTGTGTATTATGTGCCTGTATCTTCAGAGCTAAAAGTGCTTTGGAAAGGTGGCTAAGGGAAGATGTCACCAGGGCGTGGCTGGGTCCCTCCTCATGTTTCCCCAAGTGGCAAAATTATAGTTTCACATCTTTCCTTCAGGTTCCTCGGCTGGTGAAGGTCGTCTTGGAGAGCTCACCTTATTTCAAGTTGATCAGCCCCAATGATGTGTGCCGTAAGGTAGCACCTGGCATGCCTTCAACTTTCCGCATCCTCTTCACCCCTGAGGAGAACAAGGTGAGGCTGGAGGTCCCAAGAGGTTGGTGCCTTCAGCGGAAGCTGAACCTGCAGGGCTGGATTCAGAACACGGCATCTGGTGTTGGTTTTGAGGAACTGTCCTGGTTTCAGTGGGGTTGTGCTGGATCTAGAACTGGGGGGAAACGCTGTTCCCATAGTGAAGATGGTGCTCTGGAGGCTCTTACAGGTTTCAGACTGGTTTTTATCCTTCAGCACTGGAACATTTAATGTCTGTTGACTTCAGGGGTGAGAGTCTGTGATGGGGAGGCCTCTCAAGGTGTTGGTTTCTAGTATCTGTCTGCTGCATAATTATGGGTTTGCTCCACTAATTATAAATACAAAAGTCTGTTTAAAAGTGACTTCTTACTTGGAGGACTCAAAGTAATCCTGACGAGTGAGGACCATCAACTTTGACAACTGGAGTCACCATAATGTATATCATGGTGACTGCAGTAGGGAGACAGCTGAATATTATCTCTAAAGTTGTCTTTTTTTTTTTTTTGCACACCGGTTCTAGCCCACACCCTGCTGCGAGGTCTGCTCTAGGCTGTGGTTGGGCAGCTCGCAACTGGTCACATCTTGGTGTTCCATGGCGCTGCTAGCTGCTGCGGTAGGGACTGATGGGCCCTGCTCTCCTTCCTGGTGCTTCCTTGAGCATTTGTGAGCGAAAATGCACACGGAACAGTAGAAAAATAGCAGGGAGGGGTGTTGGTAAGATGTTTAGCCATCTCTCTACTCAATGGTAGGGGGTTTTAATTATTATGGAAAATACTAGAGGAACAAATAGATCCAGAGAGCTTTTCTCTTTCCCATCTGGCAGCCACTTCGCTGCCTCACCCTGGCCTGGAACAAAGATGATGCTTTTTCATGCCCTGTTTTCAAGCCTTGCAGCTGTGCTGTCCCAGAGGATACTTGCCTGCCTGCCATCCAGCCGTGAATCTGGGAGAGAGGGAGCGCTGTGTGTGTGGCAGGGTGCCAGCCTGGCACAGACACTGAGCTCTAGACATCCTTAAACTCAGCAGGAGGTTGGTGCGCTGCGGATGACTTTGAGATACTTGCCTGAAAGAGCATGCACAGGAATAAATGGGCAGGTATACTCTGCAGGCAGACGCAAAACGCCAGGGCCCGTGGCGTGGCCGTGTCTTAGTGCGTGTTACTGAGGTCACTCCGTCAGCTGGCACCTACTCCACGCCAAACGTGCAATGCTTTTGCTCGGAGGTTTGAACATCAGTGCTATGGCCCTGGCAGGTCTTGATCCTCAGTCATGCGAAGGGTCAGCGCTGTTATCTGGAGGCTGGTTGATACAGAAGGATTTAGTACGTGGCATGGAAGGGAGGAAGCATTACAGGGAAAAAGGCAGGCTCCTTCCACCAGCATCCTGCTGCCTCCCAGCACTGTTCTTCGCATGACTTTGTCGGAGAGGCAAGGTTGAGGAATAGCTCTGGGCCAGCTGATGTTTCTGCACCAGGCCAGAGGTGCAAGATCTCTTTGGGTGCAGCTGCTTCCTCATCTTCCTTGTGCTGCTTAGATTTAGTTTAACTCTTTGTCCTATCCTCAAACAGCATGGGTATAGAAAACCAAAGAGGAAATGCCCTGTGGTCTCTAGCTCCCCATGCTTGTGAAATAATCTATTCCTTTGGAGGGACTGAGAAATTATTTAACATCATTAATATTTAGGGTGAAAATTATGTTGGCCTAGGGCAGTTCTCTGTGCTACCCAAGTGACACAAGAGCTTAATCTCACTGAGCTAAGCTTTGCAAAGTACGCTGGTGCCTTTAAAATGTTATTTATTAGTAGTGTTCATTTTTGGGGTGGAAGAGGTAAATTGGCGCTGATGAAGGGCAAAGTGCTGCTCTTCAAGTTTAGAGAGGCAGCAGAGCAACACATGAACATCACCACAAATAGAAGTAGGGTGAGAGAACCCCCAAGAGCATGAACGTACAATACCTTGTCCTGTGTCTTGCCCTTGACCTGGTGAGCGTACGGCGTAGGCAGCTCTGCGCAGCTTCATCGACACCCCGATGCCTTCTGCCAAACTGGGTCCTGTGCTCCTTTCGGAAGAGGGGTGCCTACCCCTGAGTTGAGGAGTCTGTTCTTCCCTGGTGTTAAGTTTGGCTTCATCAAAGTAATTCCTGATTCACGGGAGTAAAATTGTGTCTAAGCCCTAAATATAAGGACCACGAGAGTTGTTAGTGGCTGAAATGCCATGTGCCATATAGCCCTGTCTTGAAAAATGAGCCGTTTCCTATTGTCTCACAGTCATTTGGGAATGTGCCACATGATTAGACTGTCAGGAGGTAAATAAATAGCTGATATCTCTCTGTTTATTGGCACTCGTGTTATATGAAATGCTAATTTTTCTGCTGGGCAACATTTCCAATTAGTTACTCTTTCTGTTTCTGATTTACACATTTCTGTTTTATGGCTCCGGTTGTACAGCGTGGGTGTTCTCGTGCCACCCTGTGTTCCTGGGTGTCCTTGCATTATGGTCTGACAGTCTGCTGAATTGGAAACCAGTGTGGAGCTGACTGGCAAATAAACAAACGGGGTTACTTACATTTGTGTGTCCTTCAGGCTTATTAATAGATTATTTCAGAGGAAGAAGGAAGCAAGAAGGGTATAAAAACATAGCACAGCTTTATTCCATTTTGTCCTCTTGCTCTTTTCACTGTGGCAATACAACATTTTCAGACAATGCAAGCTCAGTCTGGGGGGTTTGCAAACTCATTACTGATGCTCAGTGGAGACTGAATTAATGCTCAATGGTTAATATGAAATACGGCAGGACGATGAGTTATTGCATTGCTGAAATTAACTCCTTTAAAATTCAGTCCAGCCCTGTTAGATGTTTTGTAGCACGCGGAAGCTACTCAGAACATACTTTAAAACGACTCCTGAGAGGAGGAACGGGGCAGAAGATCAAGGCAAATGGCCCTGTGCAAAATGGACCTGGAGCAAAGCGATGGATTTCAAAGCCTGCTGTGAATTGGTGGTAGCTGAGGGAGGCAGGAGGAGCGGTACCCCTTCTTGTGTGAAGCATCTTCATCCTCCAGTCTCCCTCCTCTTTTTTTAATCTCTTTTAATGGCCCTTATTTTCCAGCCTTTACAGTATCATGGTTTCAGCAAGGAGCTTTCCCTGCTTGACGAACTATGTTATCTCGTGCTACGAGGATCTTTTCTTTGCGGTTGCCTGCTGCAAGGAATTCAGTGAAGGATTTAGGATCAGTTGTGCAGAAAAACTGACATCGGTTTGCTGGCGTACTGAGCGGTTAGGGTTGGTACTGCTGTGACAGTAATGTGAGCCTGAGTTTGCAAAGAGCCTGAAATGGCATCTCCAATACGAGCAGTTGCTTTAGTTTCAGCGGCTGCTAATTCAAATGCCAGTGGTGACACTTGAAAGGCCAGAGCTTGTAATTTATTGCTTATCCAAGCTGCATAAGTTCTAAGATGATGGTTCCTTGAAGAGGAACCATCCTACAATGATCCCTATGTTCCTTGAAATTGAGAGAAGACTTCTATGAAGGATGAAGACTTTAATGATGATCCATAGCCTGAAGTCCTGGAGTGTGGTTGAAGGGCTGGCATGTGCTGAAGTGCTTTGAGCCAAGCTTTGTATGGGAAGCCATGTCCCAGGGCATCTCTTGGAGCGGGGGCTCAGCACGCAACGTGCTTGTGCACAAGTGGCAAGAGGCAGCTTTCTGAAGGTCGTGCTTGTCTCTGAGGCCAAATCCTTGTTGCTTTAGCCTTGCCTTCGCATACTTGGAGAAGTTCTGTTCCCCATGCGTTGCTCCGCAGGCAGTCCCAGCGCCCCTCGCCAGCGACGGAGCTGCGAAGGCTGCCTGTGCTTGCTTTTGGGTGGACTTATTCCTTGGGCTCTTACTTATGCTGCTGTTGATCCAGTTACTCCTTGGCAATGACAGTGACTCACATTGTTTCCTTTTACTTCCCTCAAATACCTTCAATTGTTGAAGTTTCTTTTTTCTTTATCCCCACCGCTGATCTGAACTCGGCGCATCCTCTCCTGTCTACCTGGTGTCTGGAAGGGAGAGATAAGTAAATATGGCATGCTGAGACTTAATAAGGCACGCAGCTTTCAATTGGATTTACACTGCCTTTGTTAAAGTAGTGTGGCCAAAATACCAAAAAATAAAGCATTCTTCATTTGCTAATGCAGTTTCCGAGGATCTAAACAGTCCAGGACGTGAAGTACCAAGATAATAGGTGCTTTGAATTCCCATGGGCTGCCCATAGCTTTTATTTTAGAGGGCTTAGGCTGCAAGATTGAGTAGAAAATTGCCAATTCAGAAAGACTTGCTGAAGATGAAACACTCCCCTGAAATGGATATTCAGTTCTGTAGGTCGTTTGCTGCAGTTCCCTTCCTGTTTTTTTACCTTCCAAATATGAGAAGCAAAAACCCTTCGGCAATTTCCAGTGTGAGTATTTGAGATGCCTAGAAAAAAGAGCCTTTTTTTTTTTTTACATCTTGGATGTGACAGCATCTGTTACTGCAATGACAGTTGAGTTTGCTCTAGTAGGGATGTCTGAGCGTCTCCTGTTTGCTGTTCCTGACACCTCCTGATAGGGGTTGAATTGTTAGTACTTTTAAGTACTTGTCAAACATGCCTCGAGAATAGTTTGGGTGTAGAGTTGAGCCGGTCCTGGGGTGGGGAGATGGACCAGATAACCTTTTAAAGGTGTGTGTTCCCAGCCTTGTCCCTGTAGTGCTGTGGGAATGGATGGGAAATGCACATGTACCCTACACTTACCTGACGTTAAAGTAATTACCAGTATTTCTGGTAAATTGAGTATTTCACCGAAGACTTGACTGACTGTGCGTGTGGCAAAGTCCTTTGGAAAATGGACCTGAGCATCCCCTGCCCAAGCTTGAGCGACGTTGCTCGGGATTAGTGCTGTGGCACAACCAGGTCCTTCGTGGTGCCTCTAATAGTCTGCAGCGGTGATCGAAGCAGGTTCTTGTTACTGCTGTAATCCCTTACCTGAAATGACTCTGTTCTGGTTATCAAAGTATCAGATAATTTTGGTTCTGCCAGCTCGCTGCAAAATCAACAGGGTTTGTTCTTCTTGGCAAGTTAACATGCAAGTCATGCTACTGGAATGAAAGGGCACCAAAGTTAAAAGTACTATTGCGTTATTGAGTGCTACTGTTAGTCCTAGAAACCAGCAGTTTTCCCTCTGCCATGGGATGGTCCTAAATGCACTCTGAGATTGTTTCTTTCCCTGCAGGATTATTTCCACCAGCTCACTTGCATCACAGAAAGGGAAAAGTTTATTGTGCCGATCCGAGCTATAGGTGCCCGTGCTATCCTGGACTTCCCTGACCAGCTGAACTTCTCTGTCTGTCCAGTCAAGTACAGCACCCAGAAAACTCTGCTGGTTCGCAACGTTGGTAATCGGGAGGCTCGCTACTCCATCAGCACTCAGAGGTAAAGGAACTCAACGTCTTGCTCGTGCAAAATACTGTTTTGTGATAGTAGTTGGTAAACAGTAACAAAAAGAAACCAGAAGGTCTGAGCTGCTGTATTAGGACATGGGGGTTTTGCAGTTGCTTACGGTGTTTTTAAGCATGATGCAACCTCTGATAAAACTCCGCAAGCTGCAGTGACGTTTTATACTGCAGCGGCATCTCCAGCATCTCCCAAGACCAATTCTGTTAGTTTGAAAGAACAAATAAAGGAAGGCAATTTGGGTGCCCTTGGGCTGTATAGGATACCATGTGGCAGGTGACGGCTCTAGGAGCTCCATTCATGTAGACCGAATGCAGTGTTAGGAAAAGGCCAGCTATGAGCTGGTGAAAGAGGTATTTAAGAGTTTATTGCCAGCTATGTCTACATTAGCAAGTAATTCCGAGCAACTGGAGATCAGTAGGTCAAAGCTGAGGCTACCAAGGCCCTGACAATAACACTGTGTGGTCTAGGAGCTTTGTTTTTGCAGTAGGTTTGGTATAGTCCCCTGGGACCAAATACTCTTAAGTAGAATGAACTAAAGTGGTGACGTGCAGGCACTGGCTTCAAAACTGTACTCCAGCCCCAAACCAGAGTGCTAATGAGGGCAGAGGTAAACGATGCAGCAGATACCTGGTGCACAGCTTGGGGGCATTTTCTTCTAGAGCTTTCTCTCTCACAGATTTCCTGGAGAGTGCTAGAGTATGTTAGTGGCTAGCTTGCAACCTGCTGGTGGTAAATACCTTCGGAACTGGTTACGTACCACTATTGGCTCAATACACCCGTTCTCTGGGGGGCCACAAGCACGTGGTATTCTGGTGGTCCCCTCAAATGTCTGCTCTCAGTTGTGTTGCGGACAGCCTGTACTATTCCTGTTGGTCTCAGAAGACAGTCACCAGTTTTCCAGTTTGAACTGGAAAGGGTAATACCTTTTTGACACCGCATCTGCAAGGAAACCAGTTTGGCTGGCTGGTTGGGAGCTGTTTGGTCCCGGAGGTCTCGGTCTAGGAGCTGAGGTCAACAATGCAGCAAAGACCTGCTGTCTGACTTGAGTTGCCTCAATTTCTTCCCCAGGAAAATAGGGCTCCAAAGAAGACTTTACTTTTCTCCCATGAACTGTGAGGGTCCGAGAGAAGCTTCCACCAAAGCCTGCTGAGGCTATTTAAGCAGACTGCTTCTCTTCACTGTGGAAAATACGTAGGCAGGAGCTTGTAAATAATTTTTCCTCTGGGATTTCCAAATCTAGTTGTCACCAGCAAAATAAACACCCAGTAAATGTCTAGCATCTTTTTGCCGTATGCATACCAACTATTGAGTGATACAGTGTACGTTAGATCTTGCTTGATAGGGATTTTAAGAATTTCTGAACTTCAGCAATCAAATATTTCAGTCCTGATTTGCAATACCAAAATGGGAAGCATTACAGAAATTTTATTTCAAACTACACTAAAGTAGAGGTCTGTATTGCATGTGTATGGTGATCAAAAGCTGATATGATTTCCCTTGTCAGCTGAGGGCATCTGTCACCTCTTCTGTTTCATTATGAACTTTTGAAAGCCAGTTTGGAATTTCAGACAGATGATTTAAATCTCTGAATGTAAGCAGTGTTTTATTCTAATTAAGTTGCCCCCATTTTCATTCAGATTTCTTTTTAAATACTCTGAAGTTTCTGTATTTCTGCTTGCTCTTTTTGCTTTGCCTTCAGTGAAATGTCATCAGGAATTCTTCATTCAGAACTTTCCTAAAGGTCAAGTTCCTCTAATGCCTGTCCATCTACCGTCCGCCTATACCTATATGCACAGATGCATAGGAAATAGGAGAAATCTGGGGAACATGTGAAATGGAATTGGGCTGCCTTAGGAGGTAAAAATCATAGCATAACTTGGGTTGGAAGGATCTTCTAGAGATCATCTGAGCAAACACCCTGCTCAAAGCAAGACCAGCAACAAAGTTTGACCAGGTTTACAAGTAAGATCAGCCTTCATCTTTCCTTCTCAAGGCTGTACAAACCCATTTATCTCAGCATCTCCCTGGATGTCCTGTGCTCCAGCCCCTAAGGTTGTCTTCTGTAGAAATGCTCTCTATCCCATCAGTGCCCAGCCTGTACTGCTAGGGGTTATTCCATCCCAAATCCAGGATTTTGCTTTTTCCATCCCTCAACTACATGAAGTTCACATCGGCCTATTTTTCCAGCCTGTGTGGACTCTCTGAACAGCAGCCCAGCCCTCCGGTGTGTTGACTACTCCCATCAGTTTGTATCCTCCACTCAAAATTTGAGTGTTCCCTCCTGTTGACCAGGTCAGGACATTCCCTTTGCATCCCAAGACCTCAACAACCATGTTCTCCCTATGCGATGAGGCCATGGTGTGCCAGGAGTGGCTATTCCAGCCAGTGCTGGGCGCCATACTGTGTGACGTGTCATCACTACATTGCACCAACTGTTTTTGCCGAGCGCGTCTGGACCCTCTACCGTATTTGCCAACTTCCGTGTTCATGACTGAATCTCCTGATAGCAGCGATCAATGGGTGGTTCCTTGCTGCTTGTGCTATGAGAAGCTGCTCAGACACCTACTGCTGAGGGCCCGGGTGAGCCCGGGTGTTCTAGCAAGCCCAGCAGAAAAGAATTGGCCTCCCAGCTGGCAAGACAAGTTGGCTGGAGAATTGGACCAATACATAGCTCCAAAGGCTAGTAGATCGTTAGCTGGCAATTGTCTTTGAACAAATATATTTACAGAGGCTTTCACAAGTGAGGCCATTTTCCTTCTACTGTTAGGGGATTAATTTCCCTGTTGTAGAGGCTATAACAAAGGCTGCATCAGTATTAACAGCAGAGGTAGTGAAGATATAGTTTAATGTCACTAATTCTTTTGGATGACTTCCATAATAACTTGATTCATTATTACCACAGAACTCTTAAAACCGTGCTTTGGAAAGGAGTTATGCTCCCTGTCCTGGAGAGCTTAAAGTGTAAATATGAGATGCAGTAATCAAGAGTTACGCTGAGGAAAGCAGTGCCAGCCTTACAGACTGAAATTCAGGGCTGTTTTAGTCATATTTGGTGGCCAAGTTAAGCAGCCTAAGTGCAATGTGTGCTTAACTTTTGCTGAGTAAGGATGTGCTATTGGGTTAAAGCCAATCGTAATATCGCATAATGGCTTTGTTATGTACAAGCACGCATGCGTGTGAGGGAGGAGGAGTGGAGCAGAAGGGGAGGAGAGATCTGTCTATATCTGTAGACCCATCAGTTCTGTCCTTTATTCTCTATCTGTGCAATTGAAACTTTTGTCTTAGTTGTTGCAACTAAGTTGTTTTCTGGCCTGAGCAAATCCAGGCTCTTGACCATTCGCGAACCAGCTGCAGATGCCACCATTTCCTAGTCCAATGTGCTGCTCATGGCATTTTCCTTTGCCTCCTTTCTCTGGGTTCCCTTCTCTACGGCATCAAGCGTAACCTACCTGCGTTGGCCTTCCGTTCATTTCTCAGCCCACCTCCAATCCGAACCTTTTCTCTCAGTACAGAGAGGTCAGCTCTTGCATCTGGTCACTTTGTGATGACGTTCCCTGCTTGGCACTCACTTGTCAAAGGGCTCTGATGTTTGCTGTTGCACATTTCACGCCAGGGAAGAGCTCTGAAGTGAATCCACGGGACCAATTCAGCATCCTTCTGCTGTTCCCTGTTCAGAGCTCTCCCTTGCTGTGGTGTCTACCAGAAAATACAGCCACATTTTGACTACTTCAAAAGAAAAAAAAAAAATCAAACCCAAAGCGCTCCCCATTATGCAGCCTGGCATTGTCTCTCTTCCCTCTGCATGTCTGTACCCAGCTCTTAACTGCATAGCTTGGTAATAAAAAAATAAGAATAGTATAAATATAGAAAGTCTCTTCCTGTTGTTCTCATTGTTAAGGCGGGATAATGAGTTTCTTCTCCATGACATTCAGGGAGATAAATGTCATTCCAGTATATTTGAGCTGAAAATGGTGCCTGGAAGCAGACCTTGGAGCAGCATGGCCTTTTCCTGACGCTACAGACACTGTGCTATGCCATGTTATGGGGCTAGAGAGGACCCGTCTGAGATAAGATCTGTTTAGGAATGTCCCCACCAACTTCCTAAAGCTCAGGAAATTATCCTACAAGGCACAGTTGGACCCCCCCTTGCATCCCTCCCTATAGTACCTGTAGACTTCATGGAGGCATGGGATTGAAGAGCTACCGTAGGATGTACAAAGATTATCCAAGGGTACGAAAGTAGAGCCTAGGTGCAGTGAAAGAGGGGAAGATAGAGCTGTGGGATGCTGACTGCACAGGATGGAGTTCTGGATGCTTTGATGTAACAGACTAGGTTTACTGGAATAGTTAGACTGCTTGACTTCAGCTGCTATACCGCTACTAAAAGTAATATATGCGGAGATTAAATGATGTTTGGGTCTTTCCTGCAGTAGGTCTTAGCAGACGGATGAGGCAATTCAATCACCCATAGATTTTACTGCCTTTCCTGGGGTTGGAGGTAGCTCTTAATGAAATGGGTTCTCCCAAACTCAAATGATTTTTATAATGCAAATTAAGGCAGCAGTAGACCAAAGAGAAGGTTTGGTTATAGAAGGTAAACATACCGTGGGACTTAAGGAAGGATTATGGCAGCTTCCTTGCACACTGCTTTTGCTGAGTATATGGTTGTGGGGGAAAAAGTGGGATTGTGGTTTCAGAGCCCCAGTCACAGACTTGCCCGCTTTGTTCACTCATCAGTTGTGTATCTAAATTATGTCAGTATTTGGCCCTGGTATCCTCATGGGACATAACTTTTGCCCAACTCTGTAAAGAAGGGCAGCTGATGCCTGGTGAAAGTAAGCAAGAAGTATATGACAAAAGATACCGTGATGAAATTGCTTGTAAATCTAGTGTTACTGTCTTTCTGAAGGGCAATAATAGGCAAGGTCTCAGCAGGTACTGGTAGGAAGGTCTCTCCTAAATTTGGTGTGGCTAGATGAGTTTATACAAGCTGAGGATTGCAAGGTACTGTTGGGAGATCTGGACGTGGGAAAGCTTAGATGTTGTACACCGAAGCAAACATCCAAATGGACATAGTTAAAAAGCATGTCAGAAGAAAACAAGCTATTAAAAAAAAATCCCACCTCCAAACCTTGTCTTCTCTGTCTTCCAGGAGCAGTGGTGATTTGTTAAAAGGGTAGCTCTAACAGGACCAGAATTTTCTTAAAGAACAGCTCACAATTAATGGATAAAAGGCCAAAGTTTAGCCTGCCAGCTTCATCTCTTGGCGATAGGTTTTATTTGGCCATTACAATTTGTCAGGGATGACTCCTCAGCATCTCTTCTTATCTGTAGGCTGCAGGGAACAGCTTAGTGATGTTGACTGAAATTCAGAGGGCTTAAGTTTAACCATGGAGTTTGCATCTTTGGGCCTTGGAGAGCCAGGTCTGTGTGAGGGATAATGAGCTCTTGTACAGCAGTAACAGAGTTGTCTTCGGGGTACGGCATGGGCCGGGATGTAGGAGATGCAGTCTGATTTGCGTTCGGCTTCTCAGTCCTGAGAACTGAGCCCTGAACTTGGTTGGATCCTGTTCTTCTGGTAACTTGGTAAAATGAAGATAGCTTCTTTCTCAGGCATCCCCTGAAGTCACCCCCAGGAGTGTTTATTCCCATCCCAGCCCTCTGAGGGCAGGAGAACTTAGACGTCGGAAAGGAGTAGGAAGATGATGAGACGGGAGGTAGTGCTGAAGTGTTGCCGGGAATCGCTTTCCTTACCAGAAGAGGAAAGCTGCTAGTTAACTTCTCTTGCCAAAAAACCAAAATAAACAAACAAACAAACAAAAAACCCCCCAACCCCCCCCCGTGCCTATCCAACACCAGGCAACGATCCCACCCAAGCATCAGCAGAGACCTGCAGCAGTCCTGGCCCCACCATCAGCGCAGATGCGGGACCACGTAGAGCAATCCAGTTCGGAGCCTGATGCTGCCTTGTCTTTCCTCCTCTCTCAAAAGTCTCAGGTCCAGCACATAAACATTGCTAAGCCTGATGCTTCTCCATTAGTCAGCAGTGATGTTCTCACTAGTTGTAACGGGAACAGGTCAGGCCCCTAATTGCAGCAATAGCTCCTTAATGAGCAGAAACTCCAGCAGTTTCATCAGCTGTCACTACTTACGTGAGCAAAGTTCAGCTTGCACACGGCTCCAGTTGTTCTCATTATTTTTGTGTGCACATTGCATTCTCTCAAGGTGGTAAAACTCTCCAGAGCGTGTGTTTAAGGTGACAAATTGTCCACTAGGAAAGCACTAAACCCAATAACTTTTGGTTTCTAAGTGGGGCTGTACAAGAGCCATGAAGCCCAGCTGCTGTTGTGCAGAAACATGTTTCATCTTGACTTATTCCTGAGCATTAAAGCACTGAGTTGTGTGTTGATCAGCTAAGACCTGTTTACCTGGCGACAAATCATAATTGCTCGTGTTCAATCCGAAGTACGCCAACGCGTTTTTGTAGTTATTTCCAACACATTGCCCAGAATTTGTCTGGTGGGCCAAGCAAGTGGTTGCTGAGCTTGGATTACAACGGGGAGTCCCAGGTTTCATCGCTTGCAAATCCATAAAAACTCACCTTGATATGCTCCTGTTAACGGCGCTTCATTTAGCTAGGGATTTAATCCTTCGGGCTGTAAATGGGATGCTCCTTTTGTGTCCTGTTTCTGTGTCATGGTATCACTCTAATCTGCATTTATGCTCACGCAGATTTTTCTGATTGTTCCTTTTTTAGAGCAGCTTTCATTGAAACGCTGATAAAATGTGCTTTCTTAGGCTAAACCAGGGTGTTTTCAAGCCTAAAAAGAGTTCCGCAAATTAAACAATTATTCTCTGGTCTTCAACAAAGACTTTTATTCTCCCTGTCTGATTTCTAGGCTCATTAGAACAAGGTGTTGCCTTGACATTTGCGTCTCTGGAGGTGAGGTTTATAGGTGACAGGAAAAGACAGATTCCTGCGGAAATCGGTGGCAAGTTACGAGTGTAAATAGCTTTTACCTCTGCTTTTGAAAAACCATTCTCTGGTCGTATTGCTAGCAGTCGGACTCGAGCCGCAGTGCACAGAACTGGATGCAGAGTTTTGGGAGAGATGAGGCCGTTTTATACCATATATATTTATTTATATCAGATCTTCTGAGGGCTGGATCTCTTCAGTGGGAATCAGTAGCTCTGTTTCTGATCCTGTATGTTCTGGTTTTTTCTTCTAGTGACTGTGGTTTGTTTGCCCCTTGCTTGCACAAGTGAGCTGAAGGAACACAGTCCCCAAATCTCCCACAGTAGCCCTGACGTCTCTCTCTTTTTGCAGCCCTTTCTCTGCCGATCCCACCATTGGGACCCTTGGGATTGGGGACGCCATGCAAGTAACAGTGGAATTTCACCCGCGGAAGACTGGGGATCATTCCGGTTCCCTGATGGTTCACTATGACACAGGTAAGTGCTGGGCACTGCATGGCGCATGCTCTCTGCCTCTTCAAAACCCAACCCTTTCGAAGCAGAATAATGTGAAGTTTGCTTTGCGGACAACTTCTAAAACCTTTTCTCTCCGAACCTCTGCATGTTTCAGTGCTTGGAGATGAGCAGATAAGGGACAAAGGATGGGTCTGTCCTTGTTCTGTATGTCCTGTGTGCTGGTCCATCCCTCAGGGACCCTGATGTCCACCCAGCCCTCCCTGTGACAGGGTTGCCATTCCCCGTTGTAGCAGCCACCTTAATTCCTGCTCCAGCTGTACCTCCCCAGGCCCAGCTTTACCTCAAATAAAAGTGAGAAATAGTTGGTGTTCAGGGGGTTATTAAAGTGGATCCCCTCAAAGAGGGATGAGATTTTTGGGAATCCTGTTTCGCTGGGAGTTGCTGAAGGAGAAACCTTGGTTCTCCATTGCAGCGTGCGCATGCCTGCATGAAGTTTTAATCCGAAACAACGCTATGTTTGAAGTGTAATGTAGGGAATGCATGTTTCTGACTCTCTCTGATGCCCACCATCTCTTACGCGCTATATATGTGTATATGACACCTCTGTCACGTATACTGCTTCTCCGTTGTCCTGCCACAGACTTTTTTCCATATTACTGTCTACCCATCTGCATCCCACACATCAGGACTAAAGTAGCCAGGACTTGAGGGCTCTTGGGATTTGGCAGAAAGTGCTTGCTGCCTCCTGAGATAGGTGTAAAATTTATACTAGGGTACAAGGAGCCAAGATCAGGCCACAGAAATACTGTCAGCTTGATAAGTGACTTCAAGAGTAAGTGAGGAAAACATGAGAAAAAGATGCGACGTTAAAATGCTTCTATCGGCCGTGGCTCAGCAGAGGTATCTTCTGATGCTGAACAAGATGCTTTCTCAGTTGCATGAATGCATTTGGTGTGCGTTTCCCCTTGCCCGAAAGAGAGGTTTGTTTTGTCACTATTAGATATTAGGAACAACTTCTTTATGGAGAGAGTGGTCAAGCATTGGCACAGGCTGCCCAGGGAGGTGGTGGAGTCACCATCACGGGAATTATTCAAAAAACCTGTAGACGTGGCACTTGGGGACATGGTTTAGCGGGCACGGTGGTTGGCCTTGATCTTAAAGGTCTTTTCCAACCTTAATGATTCTGTGATTCTACTCCTGAACTTTGGTCCTGGGGAGCATGATGTCCAAATCAAGGTGTTACTGTGATGCTTTAACCCAGCAATGAACATTGTGGTTGTGTCGAGTTTGTGGAATTTGTAAAAACGCTCTGCTATCTTCCAAATGCTCTTTGTAGCCTTATGGCTTATCACGGCTTTGTTTAATATTTGTCAGTTAATTACATATTTGCAGAGAACTGCTCGTGCTCACTCTGAGAAGCTCATGGGTTTGGATAACACTTTCTTGAAAGAACTACCGAAGTTTCTGATAAAGCAGCACAAAAAGCGCCTAGTTCTCCATGCATAGAGAGAACCTATAGGGTAGAATTCAGAGGGATTGATCTTTCTGGGTTAAATCAGGACTGACCACACTAGAGCTTAGGGCTGTGGGGTTTACACCATGTGAATGAAAAGACCATGTGAAGAATCAGGATCTTCATGGTTTGCTTTGAAAACCTGAGTCTTGTTTGTTACCGAAACACCTGCTTTGTCTATGGTTAATCTTTGCGAAAGTGATTTTCATGGGTTGGCCACGGGGTTCAAACTATCTGCTGGCTCAGAGATGAGCTACCTGGGAGATGAACCCAGGATCCATTCCTGCCTGCTGGTACAACGCGGTGGTTATTTTTAAATCACAGATTGAGAAGGAAAGCGAGGGAATAATTATGGGCTTATCTCTTGAGCTTTGAAGCACACAAATAAGTAAAAGGCTGCTGAGATTAATTGCTAAAGTGAAACCGAAACATTTAAAGCAGCTTTTAAGACTGATATTGCAGGTGTAGTGCAGAGCACCAGGCAATATTGCCCAAGCTTGCGTGGCAAGCCCTGGCTAATTTGTCCTGCACGAAGTCGGACTCCCTGTGACTAGCATACAAAAGCAGCTGGGTGGCTCTTTCAGAGCCCCCAACGGACTGTTGATGATGAAACAGAAGTGCTAAGAGCAAAATAGCATTTTAGGGTGTTGGGAGGCCTTTTCCTTGCTTTGCTGTGTATCTGTATTTGGTTTGCTAGCAAGTGGCAGTAGCTCTCGGTGAGTCGCACCGTTGTTACCGTGACTTACGCGGGATCAGCAGCATGTGGCATTGCTTTAATTTTTGCTAAAGTTGGGTCCAGTCTGTCCCTGGCATTGCTTAAGCAAACGTGGAGCTCTTCAGTGTGAATAAGTCACAATTTTCCCTTTGCCTATTTGGTTGATTTAAATTGGACATCCTTTAGACTGTCCTGGTTAGGATGGTGCTGTCCCCTGGATAGACTGTATATGTGATTGTAGTCCTGTTGCTACAAACTTCACAGATGAGCGTGAAGAAAAGGTCTTGTTGCTCAGAGCATAATGATTTACAACAGAAATTTGACCTTCAGTGTCCAGCTCCTCCGTTGCCCCCAGGTACATGTGTCTGGCTACGAAAAATTCCAGCTCATACTGAAATGGAGGTGACTGAGCTACAGCACATCCCTATTCATCACCTTAAATGTTCTGGGCTACAGCACATCCCTATTCATCAGCTTCACGTCGCATTATGGTACCGGAAAGGGTTTCTGAAGCCTGCGTGCCAAGAACACGGACAGGTTTGGGAAGGGTTTGGTGCTGCTACAAGTTCTGCTGGTGGCTTGGCCCTTCCCAGCTGACTCTTAGCCCACCCCCTATGGATGTGGGAAAATGAGCTTATGGACTTAAGTCTAGTCTCAACCAAGCCAGGATAAAGCTTGGATATTCCTTTAGCTCCCAAGCGATGCTCGAGTGAGGCGCCCAAGCTGGTTGCCCCGAGGGCTGTGGTTTGTACATCAAACCCAGTTTGCTGCAGTCATAAAGTTTATTATAGCACAAGCTCGGTGTGGGAGGGTGAGCTCAGGGACACGCGACCCGTGTAACGGGTCTCCAGAGCTGCGCTGGACGTGTGAAACAAACTCACCAGTTCCATAGCACCCAGAAAGGATAACGTCTAGGAAGAATAACATCTACAGAAGATGCTCAATGCAGGTAAAGGAGGCTACCAGAGACAGGAGGTGCTGCAGAGATGCTGGGAATTGTGGAAAGAGAACCACTTCTCTCCTCAGAGCTCCCTAAACCCTCGCTCATGTCTCCAAGATGTATCTAGTATGGTATGATGGGTGGTCTTCAAGGTGTAGGACCAGATTCTGTGCTTGTATGTGGGTGCCTGCAGTGCCCACTGGACCTTGCGGCAAGGTGCTCCGACAGATTTCTAGTCCAGCAGATCTGTTGAGCTGTGCTGAAATTCCTCTGTACAGTTTTTCCCCATCAGTCGCCATGTCCCTTGGGATCCCTTTGTCGGCAGGGGAGGCTTCAGTAATTAGCAAAGCCTCGCTGAGCTTGTGCGTGCCTGACAGACTATCTATTGCTGTCAGCCGTAAAAGTAATTATGCAGATCATGTTCCTTCAGTGGCTCTGAGACTAGCGTGGAAGCAAAAGCCTGTGGGCAGGATCTCACCCTCTTTGAGGGGCGAGATCAGAGCTAGTACTTTTAGGAGAATTTCTGGAGACAGCATATCCAAGAGGAGCCAGCCCTCAACCAGGAATGTGTACTCCATTACTGTTGCATCTCCCCTTGGTGCAGAGCCCAAGGAATAGTTCTCGGTGGTTTTAGTCCCACCAGAAGCCTCCAGCCTCGTGCTAAAAGCCTGCTGAGGAACCATCTGGGTATTTAGGAGGTTAAGACCCTGTTTTCCCTCAACTTTCTATGTGACTTATGGGAGGAGCAGGAGCTCTCCTAAAGCAAATCTCGGCTTGTTCGCTGTGGGTCACAGACCCAGGCTCAGAGCATCCTTTGTGGCTCAGCCCACCCAGGGCAAAGGAGAGAGATCTCAGCCTCAGCTCCTCGATTAATTACTTCGAGGACAAGTAGAAGATGCGGGCAGGGTCTGTCTCTGCAGTTGTCAGTCAGATTGAGTTTTTCTGTGCTGTGTTAGTTGCTGTCCCCGTAGGAAGTGGATGAAGTAATGTCTCCCCTCCTGAGCCCTGGAGTGCAAAACTTGCTCTCTGCCAACTTCAGGTTATTCCTGTGCGGGAGAAGAGAGCAGCTAAACATGTTTCTCCAGCGCAGCATGCTAGGAGCACCGGAGAGCTGCCAGGATGTGCGGTTTGGCTTGACCGGTGTGTGAACTACCCCTGCGGCCGCTAGCCCTGTCGGTGTCGGGAGCGAGCGGGATTAGCACATCTCTGCTCTTGCCCTTCCTTTGAGCCAGCACGAACGCTTGCAGGATAGATGTGATTTCTTTGGAGCAATGTCAAAAGCAAAATATACAGCAATATATAACAATATGAAATTTTCTGGGTAGATCTCAAAGAACTGAATGGGAATTGCTCTTAGTGTGGCTCACGGTTACAGGGGGATCTAGGTCTCCTGCCCTACGTAGGATGCCCTGACCCACTGCCCTGTGATGCCTCTGCCCTTCTTGGTCTGCAGCAGCAGAAGCCCGTGGAGCCGCGAGCGATAACTGCTAGCTTGAGAAAACACTGTCATTTAATCTCAACTGGGGAAAATGTGGCATGAGATCACTGGAAAAATTAAGGCATATTTAAAAACCAACTAATTAGGGAGCTGACGTGGAGCTCTTTAGTCACCCATGGAATGACAGCGAGTTTGACATGATGTATTAGAGCCATTTGGGTTTGGTGAAGACGACAGGTAACTACAAGAGCGGGTGTGCTTGGCTGGCAGCAGGGGAAGCAAAGCCTGTGCATCATCTTGGCCACAGCGATGATGAACTGTCATAGAGGCCACAACGTCTTGTGAATGGGCCAAGGGGAATTATCAGCCGGGTTCGTGATGGTCCAGCTCCTGCAGGGATTGGCGTGGCGTTGCT